AAAATAATTGTGTGATAAAAATAATAACCCAATGCTATACCCTGACACGCTCCACATGGCATCTACAGGATCCTCAAGGATTTTCCATGGAAATAATTTCCTAGAAGAAACTAAACTCCTCAAACAGCTTGTGCCTAGATTAATGTTTTCTGGGTGGTGTTTCTATTTCTCTTTTAAATGGTGCTGAATGTGTAAAAATGGAAGTTTTCTGGAAGCAGGGAGACGTGGAGGTGCTCCCCTGGGGTGTGAGGGTGTTGAGGTTTGGATGCTGCTCCATGCCCAGGCCTTAGCTGCCTTGAGGGGTGACCACAGGTGATGGTGCTGCTCCAGGTGCTGCTCCAGGTGCTGCTCCTGGTGCCCGTGATCTTTCCAAAAGGAGCACAGAACTCATCAGGCTTCTCCATTGGCAAGTTCTGGCACTGCCAGGGAGCTGCTGTTGCTCTGTGAGCACAGCCTGAGTGCCTCATCTCACGGAGACCTGATGGCTGAGCCAGGGAAACGAGGAGATCCTGGGACGTGCCCGTATTTAGGCAACCCAAATCCACGTGGGGTTGCCTCACTCGGTGCCTGGGGCTGCTCGGGGCAGTGGCCACCGAGCTGGAGCTGGAGCTGGAGCTGGGCTGCCCGGGAGTGGCACAGCCCTTGCACAGCCTAACCAGGGGAGGAACCAGTTGAGCCTTTGGGCTTTCATCTGCCTGCGAGTCAACACCCTGAATTTTCGGAGAAACAGGACGTGCAAGACCTCCCACTGCAATGGTAATTACCAGGGAGGCTTTCAGAGAAACCTGGGCGCCAGGAGCTGTGCAGGGCTGATCTGTGTGCAGTGATGGGCTGGGGTGAGCCTGGCACCCCACCTTCACCTGGCTGCCTCCTTTGGGGTGAGCCAGTGATCCCCAGCCCTGTGCCAGGAGCCTGGCACCCCCCATTTGTCTGACTGCCTCCTTTGGGGTGACCCCAGCCCTGTGCCAGGAGCCTGGCACCCCACATTTGGTTGATTGTCTCCTTCTGAACCCTGCAACCCATCCAAAATTTTCAGTTGGATTGTAGAGGCAGGTGTGATTTGAAACACTTCTGTTCCAGATCACAGACAGTCCTGCTTCCCAAGCACGGGGACAAGGGGACACATCCCTGCAGTGGGACAAGGGGACACATGCCTGCAGTAGGACAAGGGGACACATCCCGGCAGTAGGACAAGGGGACACATCCCTGCTGCTGTCCCCAGCCCTGCCCGGGATCTCCCAGCTCTGACGCTCCCTCCTGCCGCATCTCCCCGCTCCTCGCCCCGCTCGCAGCCCGGAGGATCCAACACAAATTCCTTCCACTCAAAAGGCTTGAACGCTGAGCCCCTCGCTCGGGGCAGCAGCCCCGGGGCTCCACGGCCGTGCTTCGGGCCGGGGCCGTGCCCACCCCGGGCTGCAGGCGCCGGGCGGGCCCCGGGAGGCTCGGCCAGGGAGGAAGGCTCTGGAAAGGCCGTGGAGCGGGGAAGGTGTCCGGGATGGACGGGAGCGCGGGTGCCCCGCGGGATCCATCCCTGGCAGAGCGCAGCGAGCCCCGGGCCGCTCGGAGGCTCAGCTCCCGCCGCCGCTCCGCATCCCGGCCGAGCCGCGACCGGCGCTGCCCGGCGGGCGAGGGCTCCGGAGCCCCGGGGACACGGCTCAGGAGCGGAGAACGGGAGCCGGGCCGGGCACGGGGCCCGAGCGCTGCAGAGGCGGCCCGGGGACACTCGGCCGGCACACGGCGTGTCTGCGACCGTCCGGGAGTGACCCGGGGGCGGTCACCGAGGGCTGCGGCCGGCTCTGCGGGACGGGCCGCGTGGGGAGCGGGCCGGGGCTCTGCACAGCCCGGCTCCGATCCCGGCCGCACTGGCGGTGGCGGTGACTGGGACGCGGACATGGACGGGCGGCGGGGGCGCGCGGGCGGGTGCGGGGGAGGCGCGCTCCCGCCGCTCGCCGCAGCACCGGGGACGCGCCCCCGCCGGCCGTGCTGCAGCGCGGGGCGGGGCCCGCCGTGACGGGCGTGGCAGCTGCCCAATCAGTGCGGCGCTGCGGGGTGACGAGAGCCAATGGGCGCCGAAGGGGCGGGGCGGGGCGCGGGGGCGGGCCGGCCCACGGCGTGCGGAGGTTGCTATGGCTGTGGCCGGAGAACGGCCGCGGCACGGGCCAATGGGAGAGCGCGAAGCCGCTGACGGACGCGGCTGCGGACCAATGGACGCGCGGCGCGCGGCGGCGGGGGCGGGCGGTGCGGCGGGGGGCGGCGGGGCCGGCGCGGCGCTAAAGGAGCGCGGCGGGCGCGGGGCGGAGCGGGCGCGGCGAAGCCGGCGGGCGGCGGGCGGGCGGCGGCCGGCGCTGCACAGGTGAGCCGGCGGGGCCGGCGGCGGGGCCGCGGCACCGGGAGGGGGGCGGCTCGGCGGGGCCCGCCCGCGGCGGGGGTGTGGCGGGGGCGGCGGGCCCGGCACACAAAGACCCCCTTGTTGGGCCGCCCGCCCGCCCGCGCCGCCCTCCCCCCCGCTGCCGGTGCCGGCCCCGGCCGCGAGAGGAGGGGGCCGTTCCCGGCCGTTTTCGGCCATTTTCTGCCTTCCCCGCGGGCCCCGGGCGGGGGGCGCGGGGCCGCGGCCGCTGCGGGCGCCGCCGGGCCGAGCCGCGGCCGCCTCTTTGTCCTTCGGGCCCGGCGAGCGGCAGCGCGGCCGCGGCCCCGGGGCGCTGCTCGGGCCCGGGGCTGCCCCGCCGGCCCTGCCCCGCCGCGCCCCCCGCCCCCCTTTTGTTCACAACGTGTCTGAGGTTTTTCTTTGGATTTTTTTTTTTTTTTTTGCCTTTATTCGCACGTCGTCTGTTGGGAGTGCTGGATTCCTGCATGATAAATGTGCTCATTTGTGTGTTTCATTTGAATGCCATTGTTAGCGGAGCAGCCCTGGCTAGGGTGAGCTGCAGCTTGCCTTGCTTCTGCGGAGGGTCTTTTGTGCTGGGCTTTGTGGGGCTGGGAGCCCGGCTGGGAGAATGACCCTGAAGGTGTTTGTGCTCCCCGAGGTTTGGGTTTAGCTCAGAGCTGCTCTCCAGTCACTCACACCGCTGGAGTGTGACCGGTGCGTGCCCTCCTCTATGAATGCATTCATCTCCGTCTTCACCCTTTAATTCCCTTGGGTGCAATGATGGTTCATGTCGTTATATGAGCTCTATTTGACCTTCAGGTTCCGGTGCCCCTTGGTGTGTAGAAGCGGAGTGCTGGCTGCCTCGGGCTGTGCCTCACCTGACACCGAGGGCCATTGGCACGCCGGGGTGGCACTGCCGTTCCAGGGCTTTGTTAGACCTTGGGCTGGAGCCTGGCACGGTGGGGACAGTCACCTTCCTCCCGTGGCTTTCGAAGCTCCTCTATTTCATCTGTCGCTTTCTCCAGCCAAATGGGGCATTCATTGGCATTCGTTGACTAAACCGTCAATTTCCTGGCGGAGGAGTCCAGCTATCGCTTAGAGGTGTGCCCTCGACGATTCCATCTTTGTTCATGGAAATTTTCTCTGAGAGGCTCTTCTAAAATACTTTAAATGTTGAGTCATCATCTCTTGATTTGAATTAAGCCATCTGTGCTAAGGGATCTGCTCCTCACACCTCTGAAGGGTTCAGTGACTTCAGGCTTGCTTCGCACTAAAGTTGGACAATGTAACAAATCTCTCTGCCTTAGCTGGAGACGCGATTATCCTGTTTAATTACACGTTCTTCTCGGGAGGGTTGGGTTGCAGAACTTCCATCAGGGCGCGTGCCATAGTGGGAAAGGTGACAAATGCAGTTTGGGAACCTCCCTGGCTTTGTTCCCAAGCTGGCCTTTGGGTTACCTGCTGGGAAAGGATTCCGTAGCCAATGTTCTTGGGGTTCTTCAGCAGGGAAGGTGGTGTGTGTTACAAACCAAGGCGTTTCAAGTCCTGAGGACCAGGGGTCGGGCTTTTCCTTGGTGCCCTGTGGGCAGTTGCAGCTGGATCTGGCAGCTCCAGGAATCCTGGCTGTGGTGGCAGGGGCCTCTCTTGGGTAGAGGCAGCCAGGTAAAATGAGTGTGCAGGGGCTCTTGTCAGTCAGTGGTTTTTCTCTCTGCTTCAAATTACCCGTGGAGCTGTTGGAAAATCCAGCATCATTCCTTGCAGTGTTTTGAGCCTGGAGGTAAACTTGAGATCTGGAGACATTTTTTGGAATATGGTGATGTCAGCACTCAGGACTGAGAACGGGAGCAGGCTGTGGAAATGCAAAGCTTTTCAGGGAGAATATGAGCAAGGTTTAGCTGCCTGGATGGCTTGCAGAAACCCCAAGTGTCCCAAGTTCTTTTCTGTAGCTGAAAATCCACATTTTTAAAACTCATCCTTGCCGCCTTTTGGTTTTTGCAGCAGAATCCACTGAGCAGATTTATGGGTTTGTATCTATCTCTGTATTTTTGTTTTTCACTGTTCCATCCCAGCTGAGTTTAGTGCCAAGCTCCTGCTCTGTTTGCTCTCATTCCTTATCTAAGCCCAGCACACAGGTGTGTGTTTCTTCCTGCCCACAGCTCTTGCTGTGGTGTCTCTCCCTTGCTGCTGCACAGCTGGATCCCTGCTGGCTGCCCTGCCCTGGGTTTGGGTGGCACTTGACAGGTGACTGAGCTTTGTCTGCCCTGGGTTTGGGTGGCTCTTGACAGGTGACTGAGCTTTGTCTGCCCTGGGTTTGGGTGGCTCTTGACAGGTGACTGAGCTTTGTCTGCCCTGGGTTTGGGTGGCTCTTGACAGGTGACTGAGCTTTTGTGTGACACAGGTGTGTGAGCAGCGTGTTGGTTGTGCAGCGGCTCCTCCAGGCTGGGAGCGATGCCTGGTGCTGCTTCTCCCAGGGCAGGAGCTGGTGCTGGAGCAGGAGCTGGTGCTGGAGCAGGAGCTGGTGCTGGAGCAGGAGCCGGTGCTGCATCACTGGCTCGTGAGGCTGTGTGTAACGTGCTCCTTTCTTCTCCCTCTCTGCCTGCAGGGTAACTGGGAGCAGAGCCCTTCTCGTGCCGGGATGGCGCAGAGGTCGGGCCAGGAGGATCCGGAGCGCTACCTCTTCGTGGACAGGGCTGTCATCTACAACCCTGCCACCCAGGCTGACTGGACTGCCAAGAAGCTGGTGTGGATCCCCTCGGAGCGCCATGGCTTTGAGGCAGCCAGCATCAAGGAGGAGAAGGGGGACGAGGTGTTGGTTGAACTGGCGGAGAACGGGAAGAAGGCGCTCGTCAACAAAGATGATGTTCAGAAGATGAATCCTCCCAAGTTCTCCAAAGTGGAAGACATGGCAGAATTAACCTGTTTAAATGAAGCCTCTGTATTGCATAATTTAAAGGATCGCTATTACTCTGGGCTCATCTATGTAAGTAGCAATTATGGGATCCATTCTGGGTGCTAATTCAGCTGACCTTACCTGATTGCCATCACTGCTGCCAGAGTGGGTCTTGGCTTTGATTTTGGCAGCCTAAATACTTTGTATCCCCAGCATTTGCATGAGTCCAAAGTCTTTTTCTGTGCTGTGTACAGGTCAAGAGCGCTGTCATAAAACAAATACTGCACTTCTGTGAGCATCTTTCAGCCACAGAGTGTGCCATGGCAGCTGGGGGGGCTCTGCTGTGCTGCTCCTTGGAGCACTTGCCTCATGCTGAACTGATCCACTGAGCAGTGGCAAGTGGCTTCCTTGTGCTGAGGGAGGTGACAAACGCTCACTTTGCTGGGTTGCTGAGGTTAACTGCTCATGTGAATGAGCACATCTCTTGTTTTAACTTGCTGCATGTTAAAAATGGCAATAAGAGGCTCTGCTGGTATTTAAAATATGAAGTTTGGGAGTACTGGGAGTGCAAAATGTCTTTTTGGAACTGAATATCAGCCTAGTGGCCAGGAAGGGATGTGTTCAAGTGCTTAAAATAAACCAATAAGATAAAGCTTGTTTTTTTCCAGTGGTTTTGAAGCACTGATTGAACATCTGGCTTATCAGCATCTTGCTCTGGAGCTGGGAATCACAGCGCCCTTGGTGCTGTGTCTGACCCTGCTCCTCCCTTGGGCTCTGTCCCAGGTCTGTGCCTGCAGTCAGGAGCAGCTCCTGCTCTCTTGGCAGGCTGGCTGCACAGGGACTTGTTGGGTCAGGGAGTCAGGAACAGCTACGAGGAGACTTTCTGTCTCAAAAGACACTGGAACATCTGCTTAAATGCTTGCTTCACTTTTTATAAACACTTAAAGCTTAAATCCACTTTATTTAGTCCTGATAGTTGGCTCATTTTCCCCTCCATCTGGGGATTAGGGGGTACATTTTTAGCTTGACCCTTGATAGTATTTGGACTTATTAAAAATTATGTACAACTACAAAGCGGTTTTTTGTATTTGTGTGTCTTTGTCAGCTTCCTCCTCCAAGGCCTTACACCAAGGTGCTCATAGCAGAGCTGGGTGAAAAATACTTCTGGAATGATTCCTGCAGAAGGAAACTAATTGCATAATTAATGGATTGAAAACAAAAAGTAAACAGGTTGATAGGTCAAAAGTTTCCAGTCTGTGTATCAATCCTAATTATGGCTGTTAGAAAATTCATTACAATTATTATAGCCCTATTTCATGATGGAGGTTAAAAAGTTGCAGGCCTTGAATGTCACAGCAAGCTCTAGTGCAGGGCCTGCTAAGGCAGGCCCAGGTGTTTGTGGGGTGCTGGCACACAGGGCACAGGGTGCCACTGTGGGTGTGACAGTCCCCCTTTGTGGGAGCCTGGCTGCTCGTGCAAGTGGAGTTGGTGAGGTCCTGCAGGTGCCTGACCTTGTTCCCTTCCCAAAGAGCTCATCCTGCTCTGCTGGGGCACACTGGAGCTTGTCCCTGGGCTGGGTGATGCTCTGCCAGGCAGGGGGATCAGTGCATGTGGAGTTTTGCGGTCCTGCAGGTGCCTGACGTTGTTCCCTTCCCAAAGGGTTCATCCTGCTCTGCTGGGGCACACTGGAGCTTGTTCCTTGGGTGATGCTCTGCCAGGCCTGGGGACAGTGCATGTGGAGTTGGTGAGGCCCTGCAGGTGCCTGACCTTGTTCTCTTCCCAAAGAGCTCATCCTGCTCTGCTGGGGCACACTGGAGCTTGTTCCTGGGCTGGGTGATGCCCTGCCAGGCAGGGGGATCAGTGCATGTGGAGTTGGAGATCTCCTCGCCCAAGCTGGGAGAGCTTGGTTGGGCTGAGAAAGCTCCAGGCTTTGCTGAGTTACAGGGGCACTGCTGGGGGAAGCTGCTCTGCCCAAGAGCCCTGGTTCAGTGCAGCTGTAAGAATTGGCTCCTGGGCTGGAATGAAAGCTGGCTGACTTGGTGAAGGTGTGCAGAAGGGCCCTGTGGGGTGTGTGGAGGACTGGATGCTGCAGGGGTTCACAGCCAGGGGGACACTGCAGGAGCTCGAGCTGTCGGGGGCTCTGTGGGGCACCCCTGAACTTCATGAAGGTGGCACTGCTGCTGCTGGCACAGCCCAGAGCCATTGCCCACATTCCTGTTTGCCTGGTGTAAGGGAAAGAGCCCAGCTGAGCTGAGCTCAAGTGAGTTCTGCTGCTTTGGCCGTGCTGACAGGAGCTGGTTAAAGCTCTGGTTGGATTTCCAGATTGTACTCCCATAATAACCAAATGAAAATTGTGTATTTTGGTGTTGGTCTCAAGCAGTTGAGCTGCAGGTGGTGAATCTGATCGGGTCTCCTGAAATTTCCCAACAGGCAGCGTGGAGTGTTGCCTTTCTAGGAAGTGAAAGATGCAGGAATGTGGAGTGAAGTAGACTGGACACACGTTTGCTTCCAGTCCCTAGAAAGGAAAGGAGCGAGCTTTGGGTGGCTGCAGTCATCTGGCTGTGATCTGTGTCCAGGAACAGGAGGCTGACTAAGGCCCACGGTGACCTGGGCACTGATGCTCCCTCCAAGAGTTTCATGTAACATCCAAGTAGGGGTGGCCAGCAGTTTCTGGAACTTGCAGCATCTCTGCTGCCTGCCAAGCGTGCTGATCTCAGGCTCTGAGCACCACTGCTGAGCTGGGGGAGGTGAACAGGGTGGAGAACATGGAAGGTCAGGGCTTGTCTGTGGTGTGACTGCTTGGTCCTGTCCCTCTGGCTCTGCTCATGGCAGCACCTGGAAAGGAGCAGGACTTGTACAAGGATGCTGGGAAAGGTGGCTGGAGTGGCAGTTATGGTGATCCCAGTTTGATTTGGAGATGAAATAACTTGAATTGCTTGCTCCACTTTACCATCATCTGTTGCATGGGTTGCCACAAGGTTTATTTGGAGTTTTAGTGCTGGTTCTGTGAAGGTGCAGCCACCTACAGCAGGTAGTTCAGCTGTTTTTTCATTGTTCTACCTTTGCTTGGAGTTTTCACTTTCCTTGTGTTTCGTGGCTGAACTTCCCTAAATCCTGTGCTTTTTGAGGGATATCAATGTTTCTTACCTATCATTTGAGTCACTAATGCTCTAAATTGATCTTCATATCCTGCTGGAGTGGGTTTTGCTTCCTGTAAATGCTTGTGGATGTTGATTCTCCAGCTCATAACTGAGCTGCTGGGGCTGCCCAGCTTTAATCCTGGCTTCAGGCTGCATTAGTGACATCCCTCAGCTGCAGATCAGGAGCTGGAGGTGGCTCACTGGGAGGGCACCCAGGAGGAATACCCACAGGCCTGATATATATTATATATATGTATAATACCCACATATTCCCTCTGAACGTTGGGAATAAAGATGATTTTGCTCAGACTGGTTTTATGGGGCTTCCTGAATATCCTTATCCCATGAACTGAACTCCAGGTGACTTTCTGGGGGTGTTGCTTTAAGAAAGGAGCAGTTCTGGTCAGAGGTTTTGGCTCACTGAGGTCTGCACCCTGGCTGAGGAAGCACCTTTATTCTTATAAGGCCTGCATGTAAAATGCCACTGTGGAGGCTTCTAGATAGCAGCCCTAGAGCTTGGTTTGTGCTCAGGTTGAGTGTGCAGAATAAGATTTCGTGGGGGAAGAAGCCTTTGAGTCAGAGAATGAAATGGAGAAATGCAATCCACTGGAAGGGTAAAGGGTGAGGGTCCCTCAGCCCTGCATGCTGCAATTTCAGGACCACACTTAATTCTTTGGCACAAGCTGTGATAGACATTAGGTGATGTTTTACCCAACAATTTAAAACTCTTTTGATGGCAAGAAAGACTCTTTAATCCCACTTTTAAAAATGTATTTTAAATTTAGAAAAATGACCTTATGTACTTCTTGTGGACAGAAATATCCTGTCAAAGCCAGTGGGTCTCTCATGGCTGTGCAGGTTTGCCACAAGGCTCTGATTTTGCAGGGACTCCAGCACCTGGGTGTTAATGGTCTGACTGGTGAGTGCAGGTGAACGTGGAGCAGCCTGGGGTAAATGCACATTTCCCACTCGGTGGGTCAGGAATTTGGAGTCTGAATTTGCCTTTTCTGATGCTCTGGCAGGGCCACAAGTCTGGCTTGTGCACTCAGAAGTTCCCACTGCAGTGGGATGGGATGAAGGAATTGCTCACTGAAACACAGGGTGTAATTAAGCTGCAGTAAAACCCAAGGTATCCCAAATTCCATGTGCTTTACAGTGATTTATTTTAAGACCATTGCTGCTGCCACATCTGTGGTAGGCCCAGCTTTCCTGGATAAGCCCTTGCCCCCAGGTGCTTGTGTGGCTTTGTGATACCCCCAGAGATCATTGCAGCTTCTCCTTATCTGCTTCCTGCCCCGTTCAGCCAGAAGGGTTGAAATAACAGAATTTCTCACACGTGTGGCTCCATGCCAGTGTCCAGATGGTCCCTGGTGACTGCTGGGGGATTGGGGAGCCCTGGGGGGCTCAGGTACCCACGGTGTGTGTGCTGTGGGGTGAGTCAGGTTGGAGTTTTGCTGTTCTTGAGGAAGGACAGCAAAGCTTGGGGAAAGGCTTAGATTCAGCTTCAGAGTCCCCCAAGCTCCAGTGAACTGTGCATTATCTTCCCTGCTCACTCCCCCGTGGTTTTTTTTAAAGCCAAGACTTTTGAAAAAGCGTTGGGAGCTGTTTGTGTGAGGCTTTGAGTTCCTGGAAGCCTCCTGCTGGTTCTGCTCTCCTGGCACAGGGCTGCTGGGCTGTCTTTGCACCAGTGAAGTAGAAAACGTGCTCAGTGTTGTGCGAGTAAAGCACTGCAGCAGGTGTTTGTTGATAATTGCAACTGTTACCTCTGTAATGGGTCTGCAGCCCTGTTATTTCACTTCTGAATGTACTTTCTGTTTTACTGGAGTAGCAGAGGGAAGGAATGGGAGCTGTGGCACAGTCCCCAGCTCCAGAGCCTGCTGTGGGTGGCAGCTCTTACAGCCCTGCACTGGAGGAGCTCTCTTTAAGCTGTTCCTTCTGTTAAGCTGCTGC